AAAATAAATAGAAACTATTTATCTGCACTTTGAAAAATGCCATATTTATACTGTCTTGTGTTCATTTTTATCTGGAAATTTTTAATATAGACCTTTGATTAGCCAATGTGTCAAATAGGATCAATATTATAATTTTTTACAATGAGTAACACTAGAAATAGAATGGAGCTTGGGACTTCTAAATTTTTTACTATACTGTACTCTGGTTTTTAAAAATTGTTTAAAAAGTACTTATAATTGCAACAATTTTATTTGATTTATAATATGTAATTGCACTTTTGCCTTTGTTCCTATCAGCCTTTCCATGAATCTGTTCTTTCATCATATTGATAGGTAGCTATCATTAGCATACACTGCATATTATTGTTTCCAAGTTTTTCCACACACCTACAAATGAAATCAAATTTTTTAAAAAGTATAGAAAAGTGAATCCAAGTGTTCTAATGGTTTTTCATGAGGATAATTACCTAATTTTTAATAGAATTGTTTTAATCGGTTGAAATATCAGCTTTGTAAAAAAAATGATATATTAATACTTGTTACATTTACTTAATAAATAAGGAATAGGTTCAACAAATTTTATGAGATGTGTTTAGTTCTAAATGTCAACTTTCCCAAATAATTACTACAATTTAAAAGATTTTTTTTTACAACTTTTAGTATATTCTAAGGGAGTAAAAAGATTGTACTTAGATTAAGAACATAGTTATAAAGTGAATTTAAATCAATAATATAGACATTTCTAAATAAAGGTCTGATATAGCAAAGTCTCACATGATTAATTTTATCATTTATATCATAAATCTTGCAGCTTATGTATATTGCTGCTATCTTCGTTCCACTTCACAAAATACTTCTAAAAGGCTTTTTGGAAAGTTTAGAAAATGATGTTGGATTATATTGTAATACTACAAAAACTATCCTAAAAGTACTTTTGTAGGAAGAAACTATAATTTCATATATAAAGCATAAACACACACACAATTCAAGTCATGGCAACAAAAAGGAAGCAGTTCCATCAGTATCCCAAGAATGTGTACAACACAGGAAAGCTAACTTAAACCTTAGACAGTTTACTATGGAGAATTAGTCACTACATTATCTGATTCTTTTTCATCACTTGGGAAAAAAAGACAAATTATCTAACATTTAAAAAAAAGTGTCTCTGAATACTTTCTAAAGAATCTTCATATACATATGATACTCAAAACACTATTGAATAGTTTAAAAGTAGACATTAATTTTCCACTACATGTACAATTTTTGTTTTAAGTTTTAAATGGAAAACAATATAAACTCTTTAGTTAACTTGGGTCTACAATCTAGTTTATTCAGAATATTACATTATATTAACATTAAATCTCTGAATAAAAAAGGGAGTCGTTTTGAGTGGTTGTATTTTTCAGTGTTATAGTACGCATTATAACTTGGTAAAGTAAGACAACATATTATTACCCTGTAGAAAACAATGTTAACTTTCTACAGAAACATGATACCACATCTGTACCTCAGTTTTTTAAAGATTTTTCTTCATGGAATATAGTTGTTGTTATAAGTGCACCTTATTGGAAAGCCTTTTGGTCAAAAAGTCACTTTACAAATATTTAGGAGTGTGGAGAAATATTTCAATTAAAAATTTATCACTCACCATAAAAAAAAATAAAATGTTTCTCAATTATTTTTTTTAACATTCTGCACTTTGCACGTTAGACAAAATCTCTCCTCCAAACTGTCTTATTTTTCTCCTTATGATTTTTGGTATGTTCTGTGCCAGTAGAGCAAAATTCTGCAAGGATATCCATTCCATTGCTGTTTCTGCAAGCAAATGAAAGTTTGGTTTCTACTTTTAATCCAGAAGATTAGAAGATTTAAAGATAGAAATGTCATTGAGAAAAAAAAATACCAGTGCATTGAAAATACACCAGTAGGTCAAATTTAATGCAAGTTTAGGAGGTCTTTATTGAACCCGTACTCTCTCCTCTAAAAAAATTGAAATATTTGATACACTGTTTGGTTTTGTTACTGCCCCTCCATATATGTATATTATATATATAAAATCTCAAACTGCCAAGAGTTTACTCCTTCTCTCATGTAGGTTATTTCTTTTCTTTAGGTATAACTACATGGAAGGGGAAATTGGCCATTCTTAAGTTGTCATTTTAATTATGCCCCTTTTCTTATGTTTGCAGCAAATATATCAGCATCAGCTAAAGAGGAAAGGGCAGCAAATGAGGGGTACTGCATATTTGTCTCTGCAAACATTAGAAGGCAGCTGAGAAACTGTTTTGGCCAATTGCAAATGATTCAGGCCCACCGTTCATAAAAATTTGGTATTTTAATAAGCGAAAGACAAATTTTAATAATGACATGGTGAAGGATGCCCTTTTATGACACAATAAAATAGAAAATAAACAGTACCTTACTAGTTGTTCACAGATAAATGTTGCTAATGTCCAGAATTTCTCTCAGGAAATGAGGTTCATTGTGGTGCAAATTTCAGTCTAGGGGGTTTTATGATGAAAGAGAAGTTCTGGTTGCCAAAAACTTCAATTACCATCCCCACCCACCTACCTCTACTACCCACACAGTCTAAAATAAATAAGAAATAAAGAATAAAAATAGATGGGAATGGGATCTAGATAGGTTACTTGTCTCCTTTTATTCCTCTTTCCCATAGCTTTACCGAGCAAATAGCCTATTCTGATTAGGGAAAAAAATATAGATGTATACACACACATACATTTAAAGGCATAAAGAGAAATTTGCACTTTCATATTGTATTGCCCCTTAAGATCAAAGGCTTTAACACATTCCTAAATGCTCACTTAACAGAACTATCTCATGCCTTCTGATCACCACTGAGAAAGAACTATGTATATCCCTCAGAACTTAAAAAAAAGAGAAGGAAAGAAAAAAAAAGGAAAAAAACAAGCAAATTGTTGGCTAATAAAGAATAACAAAGGTTAAAATCTGACCCAGAATTCAACATGAATGTTTGAAATCAAAGCCTTCAGTAAGTCTTTCATGATGGAAAAAGCTAGAGGCTGTTTTATTTGACTGAATTCAACTCTGATATATTTTGCTAACCAAAAAAATGTTTCTTCTCCTTTATTTTAAAACGATTAATAACATAACCCACTAGTTCATATATTTCAGGATGTCAATAATTCCCTGTGGGTCAACAATGTAAATGTTCAAAAAGATATTGAAAGGAAAGGAGCGACACACAGCAGCAATTCACCATAGAGTTCCGCTTTATTAGGAAAAGGTGCTGGGTTATATAGGAAGGGGCATAGGGTGATTGTGGTGTTACTTCTACGGGGCTGGTGGCTGTTGGCTAGGTGCTGGGATTGGGAGGGGGGCAAGAGGTGATTGGGCTTCAGGTGGTGCCGGCGGGAACCGAGGACCCCGAAGAGAAGCCGGAAGTTTGCCATCTTACTGGTGGGGACCCTTCAGATATAATAATGTGATGTTCAATATCCAGAAAGCTTGTATATATTAGACATAAATAAACAATTAGTAGAATGGCAACATTGTGTTTGTAAACATTTCATTGAACTTAAGGAAGCCTACTGAGTGAGTAGACTATTCATGATCAAGCAAATTGAGTAAATTGATAAGTAAGAATATAATACATATAAAATTATATAAATGACATACTTATATATAATTTGTAAATTATATAATATATTTGTAGTTAATAACAAAATTAATTGTATAAATATGATATGGTGGTAAGTGAAGTATACATATGACAGCCTTTTGAACAATAACTGCACAAGTTGGAAACATTAAGGCAAATATTGATGGCTTTAACTTGATAAAAATTAATATTGGATGTCTGTATTTAAAAAAAAATAAAACACCAACAGTGCAAAACCAAACCAGGAAAATTGTTTGCTTAATTTATTCCAAACAATAATTCAAAAGTCTCTGAAATTCTCACAAACCAAAATGAAAAGTGACAAATGCTCCAGGTGTTAAAAGGAGTGAAAAACATTAATAAACATTTCAAAAAGGAAAAAAAAAAAACTCCAAAGTCAAAAAATACTAAAAAATATAATCAAAATTCAAATTACAACAAAAACACTTTACTTGTATTATATTGGCAGAGTTGTTAAGAGGTGACAAAGCATGCAGAAGAAAGATCCTCCTCCTGTACCTACCGTGAGGGAATAATGTGGAGGGCAGTCTTTCAAATAACAGAAACAAAAATAGCAAAGTGCTACAGCCGTAAAATATCTTTTGATCTACTAATTCTAACTTCATGTAATGTATGCTTAAACTGAGTTGAGCCATGGAAACAGCTATTAAAGAATAAAGCTTTTGACTTGTATTTATTATTATGGAAATTTGTGTATGCTACACTGTTAGCTTTTAAATGATCAAAAATATTTTCAGAATGATCTTTTTATAAGAAATAATGGTATGCAAACATTCATTCATGCATTTGTACATACATACAATAGCAATTTATATGTTTGGGCTTGTATAACAGACTGTTAACTAACAATAATAATCTCTGAGTGGTAACATGGACGTTTTTAATGTTTAGTAAATCATAGCTTGTAAATTATAGTAAATAATACTATCTTAAGTAAATGAATAGGTGAGGAAAAAGAATACAAGATAACAAACAAATACAAAATAGTCAATTAATTATTTTTTTTTACCTTGGTATGTAATAGAGGTGGTATTTTAATCACCAGAGAACGAGCTTAAAGACATTTTAGGATGAAATACTGGGAAAGCCTACAGGAAGCAATTTTTTAAGACTCTTCTCATAAACATGAAGCTGGTCGAAATGTAAAATATGACTCCCCCTCCAATGTTTCCGTAGACCCGGTTCAGTTTCAGATGTCTTGGCGCTTCTGACCACTAGGTGGCACCTGGAGGCTCGCAGGCATGGTGGTGACGCATGCGCAGTGCCCCTAGTTTTAGCTATTGGGTCTACGCTCGAACCCACGTGTTCGGACACCGCCTTCACCGGTGCAGGAACACGCACCGGCCGTCACCCGCGCTACCGTAATCCCGCCATATTCCTTTTTCTCTGGGAGCGAGCGAGCTGATCCAGCGGCCTGAGATGTCTGAGCTGCCAGCAAACTGCAGTGTCCCGCCCACCAACGCGGAGGATGGGGACCGCGACGCCCCGCAGGCGGAGGTAGGCGGCGGGCCTCCGGAGCCGGTCCGGGCACAGCCTGAGGAGCCCAGGGAAGGTCCGATGGCGGCGGCCAGGGAAGTTCCAGTGGCGGCGGCCAGGGCAGCTGGGATGGCGGAGGTCGCCCGACTGGTGGCGGAGCCTGCGGAGGAAGAGGGTCAAGAGGGCTGGCCCGGGAACGGCCCCGGCCTGGCTGCGTTTCCTCCTGACGTTTATCGCGCGTTGAGCGTTTGGGAAATGACTTCCCAGCAGTTCCTCCGCCAGTTTCAGCAGCTCTACGTGAGGGCTGTGGTCAGAATGCAGGGGCCTGAACGCCATGGGAGATTTCTGGAAGAAGAGTTTGATGCCGAGCATCCGCGGAATCACCAGAGGATGGATTTTGATGTTCTAACAGGGATCCTAACTCTGACTGCATCTGCAGTGATCGACCCTCTGGTAGAAGAACTTGGTTGTGATAAGTTAATCAGCAGAGAATAGTTTGGTGATGAAACTGCTTCCAGAAGAACCTCTGTACTCAAGACGGCCTTATGCCAATCCTGGAACTTGGTGTTAAAAAGGCAGTTGTATGCGCATAAGGCAGTGCACAGTTGACAAAAACAACGAAGGAAGCTTCTCATGAAAAACATTAGAAAAGAAAAAACAAGCCAAAACTGTTGGGACTCCTGTATTGTTCTTTGGGTTGGTGACTTATGGGGATTCCTCCCCTTGCATTTGGAAGTGTCTTTCAAAATTGCTTCACTAAAAAGGGAAGAATGGTTCTGTAACATTGAGACTTGATAAAGAAATGTTGCCAGTAATAAATCTCATGATGACGAAAGTGTCAACTAGCGATAGTAGGAATAAGGAGTCAGACTGGAAGACAGGAGCAAACCTGAAATTGTTAGAAAATGTGTTCTCTTCATGTCAGATTCAACAAATTTTTAGTGTATATATTTTGTTTTCTAAGGCAGTTCCAATGACAAACCATATAAATGCAGTATATATTACAAAATAAATCACGTTTGAGAATATTTGAAATTGCTGATTCTTTTTTCTTTCATTCAATTTCTAATTTAAACTTTTCTGGTAAATCAATTCACAAGCCCCCCCAAAAAATAAAATAGGCAGTGAAAAGTCTTCCATCCGTGTCCCTCCACCCAGGACTACTGCAGCCCACATCTGTGACCACTGTCCATCCTGTGCTTCAGTTTTCCATAGGTACACACGAGCAAATACAAACCTGGGTTTATTTCTTCACAGAAGTTGACATACTTACTGATTTATATTTTAACTTTTCTGAGTAAGAACATGGCTTGAAGATGCTTCCAAACCACCACATTTCCTCATTGTTTTTTTTTTGGTATCATTAATCTACAATTACATGAGCAACATTATGTTTACTAGACTCCCCTCATTATCAAGTCCCCCCAACATACCGCATTACAGTCACTGTCCGTCAGTGTAATAAGATGCTATATAATCACTACTTGTCTTCTCTGTGTTGCACAGCCCTCCCCCTGTTTCCACCCCCTATTACATTATGTCTGCTAATAGTAATGACCCCTTTTTTTCCCCTTTTTCCCACCCCTCCTCTCCAGTCGCTTTCCATTTGGTAACTGTTAGTCCATTCTTGGGTTCTGTGAGTCTGTTGCTGCTTTGTTCCTTCAGTTTTTTTCTTTGTTCTTAAATTCCACAGATGAGTGAAATGATTTGATACTTGTCTTTCTCTGCTTGGCTTATTTCACTGAGCATAATACCCTCTAGCTCCATCCATGTTGTTGCAAATGGTAGGATTTGTTTTCTTCTTATGGCTGAATAATATTCCATTGAGTATATGTACCACATCTTCTTTATCCATTCATCTACTGATGGACACTTAGGTTGCTTCCATTTCTTGGCTATTGTAAATAGTGCTGTGATAAACATAGGGGTGCATATGTCTTTTTCAAACTGGGCGGCTGTATTCTTAGGGTAAATTCCTAGGAGTGGAATTTCTGGTCAACTGCTATTTCTATTTTGAATGTTTTGAGGAACCTCCATACTGTTTGCACAGTGGTTGAACTAGTTTACACTCCCACCAGCATTGTAGAAGGGTTCCCCTTTCTCCACATCCTTGCCAACATTTTTTGTTGTTTATCTTTTGGGTGGTAGCCATCCTTACTGGTGTGAGGTGATATATCATTGTGGTTTTAATTTGCATTTCTCTGATGATTAGCGATGTGGCGCATCTTTTCATGTGTCTGTTGGCCATCAGAATTTCTTTGGAGAAGTGTCTGTTCAGATCCTGTGTGCCCATTTTTAATTGGATTATTTAATTTTCATTTGTTGAGGTGCATGAGCTCTTTATATATTTTGGATGTCAACCCTTTATCAGATATGTCATTTATGAATATATTCTCCTATACTGTAGGATGCCTTTATGTTCTATGGATGGTGTCCTTTGCTATACAGAAGCCATTCAGTTCAATATAGTACTGCTTGTTCATTTTTGCTTTTGATTCCTTTGCCATGGAGATACATTCATGAAGAAGTTGTACATGTTTATGTCCAAGAGATTTTTGCCTATGTTTTTGTCTAAGAGTTTATGGTTACATAACCTACATTCAGGTCTTTGATCCATTTTGAATTTACTTTTCTGTATGGGGTTAGACAATGATCCAGTTTCATTCTATTACATGTAGCCATCCAGTTTTGCCAACACTAGCTGTTGAAGGGGCTGTCATTTCTCCATTGTATATGCATGGCTCCTTTATCATATATTAATTGACCTTATTTATCTGGATTAATATCTATTCTGTTTCACTGGTCCGTGGGTCTGTACTTGTTCCAGTACCAAATTGTCTTGATTACTGTGGCTTTGTAGTAGAGCTTGAAGTTTGGAACCAAGACTTCCCATTCTTTACTCTTCCATCTCAGGATTGCTTTGGCTATTCAGGGTCTTTTGTGGTTCCATAAGAATTTTAGAACTATTTGCTGTAGTTCTTTGAGGAATGCTATTGGTATTTTGATAGGGATTGCATTGAATCTGTAAATTTCTTTAGGCAGGATGGCCATTTTGACAATATTAATTTTTCCTAGCCAAGAGCACAGGATGTGTTTCCATTTATTGGTACCTTCATTAATTTCCCTCATGAGTGTCTTGTAGTTTTTGGAGTATATGTCTTTCACTTCCTTGGTTAGGTTTATTCCTAGGTATTTTGTTCTTTTTGATGCAATTGTGAATGAAACTGCTTTCTTGATTTCTCTTTCTGCTAGTTCATTAGTGTATAGGAATGCAAGATATTTCTGTGTATTAATTTTGTATCCTGCAACTTTGCTGAATTCAGATATGAGATCTAATAGTTTTGGAGTGAATTCTTTAGGGTTTTTTATGTACAATTTCATGTCATCAGCAAACAGGCATGGTTTAACTTCTTCCTTACCAATCTGCATGCCTTTTATTTCTGATTGCTGGGGCTAGGACCTCCAGAACTATGTTGTATAAAAGTGGGGAAAGTGGGCATCCTTGTCTTTTTCCTGATCTTAAAGGAATAGCTTTCAGCTTCTCACTGTTAAGTATAATTTTGGCTGTGGGTTTGTCATATACAGCCTTTATTATGTTGAGCTACTTGCCCTCTATACCCATTTTGTTGAGAGCTTTTATCATGAATGGATGCTGAATTTTGTCAAATGCTTTTTCAGTATCTATAGAGATGATCATGTGGTTTTTGTCCTTTTTGTTGATGTGGTGGATGATTTGATGAATTTTCGAATGTTGTACCTACCATTCTTGCATCCCTGGGATGAATCCCACTTGATCATGATGGGTGATCTTTTTGATGTATTTTTTTTAACTCGGTTTGCTAACATTCTGTTGAGTATTTTTGCATGTATGTTCATCAGGGATATTGGTCTGTAATTTTCTTTTTTTGTGGTGTCTTTGCCTGGTTTTGGTATTAGAGTGATGTTTGCCTCATAGAATGAGATTGGGAGTATTCCCTCCTCTTCTAATTTTTGGAAAACTTTAAGGAGGATGGATATTAGGTCTTCACTAAATATGTGATGAAATTCAGCAGTGAAACCATCTGGTCCAGGAATTTTGTTCTTAGGTAGTTTTTTGATTACCAGTTCAATTTCTTTGCTGGTAATTGGTCTATTCAGATTTTCTGTTTCTTCCTGGGTCAGCCTTGGAAGGATGTATTTTTCTAGAAAGTTGTCCATTTGTTCTAGGTTATCTAGTTTGTTACCATGTAATTTTTCATAGTATTCTCTCATAATTCTTTGTATTTCTGTGGTGTCTGTAGTGATTTATCCTTTCTCATTTCAGATTCTGTTCATGTGTGTAGACTCTCTTTTTTTCTTGGTAAGTCTGTCTAGCAGTTTATCTATTTTGTTTATTTTCTTGTAGAACCAGCTCCTGCTTTCATTGATTCTCTCTGTTGTTTTATTCTTCTCAATTTTATTTATTTATGCTCTAATCTTTATTATGTCCCTCCTTCTACTGACTTTGGGCCTCATTTGTTCTTTTTCCATTTACATTAGTTGTGAGTTTAGACTGTTCATTTGGGATTTTCTTCTTTCCTGAGGTGGGTCTGTATTGCAATATACTTCACTCTTAGCACAGCCTTTGCTGAGTCCCACAGATCTTGCGGTGTTGAATTATTGTTGTCATTTGTCTCCATATATTGCTTGACCTCTGTTTTTGTTTGGTCATTGAACCATTGATTATTTAGGAGCATGTTATTAAGCCTCCATGTATTTGCCGGCTTTTTCATTTTCTTTGTGTAATTTATTTCTAGTTTCATACCTTTGTGATCTGAGAGGCTGGTTGGTACAATTTCAATCTTTTTTAATTTACTGAAGGTATTTTTGTGGCCTAGTATATGTTCTATTCTTGAAAATGTTCTGTGTGCACTTGAGAACAATGTGTATCCTGTTGCTTTTAGATGGAGTGTTCTGTACATGTCTGTTAGGACCATCTTTTCTAATACGTTGTTCAGTCCTCTGTCTCTTTACTTATCTTCTCTCTGGTTGATCTGTCCTTTGAAGTGAGTGGTGTCTTGAAGTCTCCTAATATGAATGCATTGCATTCTATTTCCCCCTTTAATTCTGTTAGTATCTGTTTCACATATGTAGGCAATCTTGGGTTGGATGCATAGGTATTTATAACAGTTATATCCACTTGTTAGACTGACCCCTTTATCATTATGTAATGTCCTTCTTTGTCTCTTGTTTTGAAGTCTTTGTTTTGAAGTCTATTTTGTCTGATACAAGTACTGCAACTCCTGCTTTTTTCTCCCAATTAGTTGCATGAAATAACATTTTACATCTCTTTACTTTCAGTCTGTGTATTTCTTTGGGTTTGAAGTGAGTCTATTGTAGGCAGCATATAGATGGGTCTTGGATTTTTATCCTCTAAGTGAATCAATGTCTTATGATTGGTGCATTCAGGCCATTTCATTTAGGGTGATTATCGATAGGTATGTACTTATTGCCATTGCAGGCTTTAGATTTGTGGTTACCAAAAGTTCAAGGGTAATTCCCTTACTATCTAACAGTCTAATTTAACTCATTTACTATGCTATCACAAACACAGCCTAAAGGGTTTTTTTACCCTCCTTTTTCTTCCTCCTCCATTCTTTATATATTGGTATCATATTCTGTACTCTTTGTCTATCCCCTGAATGACTTTGGGGGTAGTTGATTTGATTTTGCATCTGCTTAGTAATTAATTGTTCTACTTTGCTGTGCTTTTATTTTCCCTGGTGACAGCTATTTAACCTTCTGAATACT